ATTTTGAAGATGGCACGATTTATACAAGGAAGAGTATCATAATATTCCCGGGGAAGATCTATGTCCATACTAGTCAAAGTTTGGAGAAAGAAGTATGTTGATGAAGGGAATTGTAATTCATGTTACTTGGATCAAGAGCTCTTCATTATAATCAAGGCACTTACCCCTGAAGGAATAAAAACATTAATAATAAGGTAAAGATGTAACCAGACTTCCTGGAACAAATATTTTTGTGTATAAAAAGACACGAATTTAATGTCTTGAAGCTGACCTTGGGATGAGTCATTTTTTTTTTCATAAATGTTGAGGTAAAAATACTAAATGTAACATTAATAATTTTAAAACTTAAAAAAAGTACAGGTCACTAGACTTTTAGTTCAATAAATGGATTCAGTCCACATCTCTGAAAAAACGAAATTTTATTAAAATTGCGTTTGGTCCAGTAAAAATATTTGAAGAAATAGAAGCGTTTTTGCAGGTCACTGATTGGTTAATATTGGTCACGTGATGTGTTTTACAGGAAGTTTTAACCATGATAGCATTTTCAGAATATTTATTTTTATATTAGTAAAATTTATGCGTTTTACAGTTTTGCTGGATTATATAACTTTGTGGATATCTACATTGTATCGGCGTTTGTGATAATAATAATAATAATAATAATAATAATAATTATTATTTTTAGAAGTACATGATACAACTTATACAGACCACAGCTGACATCAATGACATTATGTAGAAAGCCCCTTTATGCAGAGCATTTCGGGCAACTTGGGTTAGTTTTGTTTTCTAGGATGCGACCACGACAGTAGACTAACACCCAGTTGCCTATTTACTGCTAGGTGAACAGGGACAGTAGGTGTCTTAAGGAAACACGTCCAATATTCCCACCCATAGCATGCCGGGGATCGAACCACGGACAATGTGTAAGCTGAGTGCTCTACCAGCGACGCTAAAGCAACTGATAATATCCACTTTGTTGGTGTCTAGGTACAAAATAAAGCAAAGATTGATTAGCTGTTTATTATTTGGGTTAGGTTAATCTTATTTGATTCTAAAATACTCTGGTATTATCTAGCAGCTGATGTCTAACCTGAAAAATGTACGAGTTGATCAACACACGCACGCCCACTTACACTAGTTTAACAACTAGTAGCTAAAACACACACAAAACACAAACAAAACACACACACACACACAACACACACACACACACACACACACACACACACACACACACACACACACACACACACACGGGGCCAAGAGCTCGGACTCGACCCCCGCAACCTCAACTAGGTGAGTACACACACACACACACACACACACACACACACACACACACACACACACACCACACACACACACACACACACACACACACACACACGGGGCCAAGAGCTCGGACCCCGACCCCCGCAACCTCAACTAGGTGAGTACACACACACACACACACACACACACACACACACACACACACACACACACACACACACACACACACACAATGAATACACATAGGACCCCAATAGACAAGTCATTTTGACTTTATTGGGTTATCCTAGGTAACCTTCACATGCTGCAATGTATGACAATTTATGTAACTGTGTTTAAGTGTACCTGTACCTGTAATTAAAGTCTTGAATTCTTGCTAGGGTGAGACCTAGGTGCAAGGCGGTAGCTCCTAGTGCCTTAGGCTCACAACAGAACCCGAGGTTAATCCCGGGGCGGGCGCACACAAATAAGTTTCTTATAACGTACTTCCCATGTTCACATATAGGTAGGTACTGCATATTAGCGAACTGTTGTGGGTGGCATCCTGAACAGTGAGCTCTGAACTGAGTTAAGATAGCATAACTCTTAGAAAAGTCTCTTCACACATGAAGCCCCTGTTCACCAGGAAGAAATTAGGTATCTGAGTGTTAGTCGACTGTTGTGGGTGGCATCCTGAGGAAAGGTCAAATGCTAATAAGGAACACGTTACTCCCTGAACATTGCTCAGCTTCTCTGTGTAAAAATACATCTCATACGTAGACACATATACCAAGAGTGATTCAGGCAGGAGGCTTGCATGATATTCAGATAAGCCAGAAATAAATATACAAATGCAAGGAGGAAGGAAAGAAGTAGTTTTGAAGACGTATAAGCAAGTCGGAAAAAAATATATTCAAGATTGTAGGCTAATTAGGTTGAAAATCTACTACTACACGCGCCCCTCAAGGAAGGTTCCTTGATGTTGGTGAGGGGCTCTTGATTTAGGGAATTGGATCTGTGCTCCAGTTCCCCGAATTAAGCCTGAATGCCTTCCACATCCCCCCCCCCAGGCGCTGTATAATCCACTGGGTTTAGAGCTTCCCCCCTTGATTATAATAATAATAATACTACTACACGCAGGTCATGAAGACTATATACACTGAGTGTATATACACGGGTGTTATACACCTGTCGGTGTATATAACCTTCGTCAAGATTGTAAAAAAAAAAAATAGATGTATGACAGTGCATATAACAAAGATCGACAGGAGTGGATTTGCATCCCAGCAGCCAGATAAGATGTAACCCATTTAAATAATCCTAGAAGTAGAGAAATTGGATGATGGGCCTGATGGAAAATTAAACAAAATAAGTTGTTACATCACCATAGATTTTTATTTAGAGAATATGCAAATTAAAATATCTTGTCCGGAAAAAACGGATTTCATTACGAGGTGACCTGCAGGCAAATGTAAATGTGAAACTTGTGATGGGAAAATAACTTTAAACTATATGCATCACATTAAACTATAGGCCTGTCCTACTGAGAAACCTTATTAACAAAAGTCTGGTAAAAGCCAGGAGAGTGAATAGAATCATGCAAAATATCGAACTGTTTGGGATGTGATCAGCAGAATTTACATACGTATCACCCCTCAAGGAAGGTTCCTTGATGTTGGTGAGGGGCTCTTGATTTAGGGAATTGGATCTGTGCTCCAGTTCCCCGAATTAAGCCTGAATGCCTTCCACATCCCCCCCCAGGCGCTGTATAATCCTCCGGGTTTAGCGCTTCCCCCTTGATTATAATAATAATACATACGTATCAGATTTACTAATCAGCTATGAATAGTTTGCTTTTAATTAGCTTTCAAAACAAGTTTTTGATAGCCCCCCCCCTTGTAAAACTAATTTGGAAACTACAAAATATGTGAATAGAGAGAAATTATAATCATGTATGACATCTTTTCCGTTCGGCGACATAAAATTATGAAATGATACAAGAATAAAGGAGAGAGTGTTGCCACTAGCGTCATCAGCAAGCAGAACAGACGACAGAACTTGCAAATTGTGAAAAAATCTGTCTCCAAAAGATACTAAAAAAATGTCGTCGCAAATAACTGTAGACTGCTGTCATCTCTGTATGATCCTTGTGGAAAATTGCATTTATCTGAATGTAACTAATAATGTACATAACAGTAAATGATAAAGATAATTATTATTTATCAATGTTACATAGACAAGTAGGAATTTGGGACACCTAGGTCGCAAAAAATGTCCCCCTTCGATACCTACCACTGTCATAACCACAAGTTGCTCTGGACCTATTAATTAAATGAAATATACATACACCAGGAATACTGGTAAATATATAAATTTGTGGACTGTATATTAAAAATAAATGGTTATATATATACACAATTACATAACAGAAGGAAAATATATCTTAATATCACTCACCAATTTGACTGGAGATTAACGTGTATCATACTCAGAAAACCTCTCTAACTAAATCTATGAAAATAATGCTGGCCAGAATTACACACAAATCTAGAGAACTTATCTGAGGTTCCTGGAGCTGTCTTGTCCAGTCGTCTGATATCTCAAGTTATGCAGGAATGCACATCAACCAACTTTGCCTCCTGTTTGAGAGGTGTCAACACAATTTTAACCTCTAGAGCACGAAAAATTCTTCCCATTACACCAACGTTTCCCCTCAAGGAAGGTTCCTTGATGTTGGTGAGGGGCTCTTGATTTAGGGAATTGGATCTGTGCTCCAGTTCCCCGAATTAAGCCTGAATGCCTAACACATCCCCCCCCCCCAGGCGCTGTATAATCCTCCGGGTTTAGCGCTTCCCCCTTGATTATAATAATAATAATACACCAACGTTTGTATAAAATTCAAAACCAAGATGGCGAGTCTCTTCTTTTTTTCGATAACATACTTCTTTTAAAAATACAATATAGGGCATCTATTTACCTATAAATTACCGTATTTCCGGAAAATATATACAGTATTTTCCACAATCCTTGTGGGTTTAGTGCTTCGTTTTGATTGTAATAATAATAATAATAATAATAATAATAATAATAATAATGTAGGCTGTTGTAATGTGACCTAAGAGGAGGCAATATAGTGCTGCAGACACAGGAGTTCTGAAAGTTCTATAGGAATTTTTTTTTGTCAAACTATATATGGGGCTTGGCGACCTGGTGGTGCAAATAGGCAGTCATAACTAGGCAATCGTTCTATTTTTGTACTAGTATTCATCTTAAGTACATTAGAACGGATTTTTTTATTTTATAATTGCAACTTACCTCTCTAGGTACATAGACAACAAACTATTCTTGTAAGGGTAGGCTAAAAAAAATCCTGGGTAATCTGCACATATGCTACTATGTATGATAATTTATGTAACTGTAGTTATGTACTTGAATAAACTTAGTAACATCCAAGATTAGATGGTTGGAAATTATAACTCAAATTTGTAAGTGGATAGCATTGTTGCAGAAAGTGAAAATAAGAGATAAGGTCCACAGGTGGAGATAACTGATAAAAGATAAACTATCGTCAGAGACTCTCTAGACTAGTACCTCATTCGAAAATAGTTTTACCCCTCAACCTAGTCTTTTATAGCAAATAACAAGGACACACATGTTCAAAGAGAAACAAAAAAATATATCGAGACAATACTAGTAATTAATAACTCAAGATACATAAGGATACGATTTAACAAGAACTTATACAGATAGGGGAAAAAAAGATGTGGGAATGCGAACGTAGTGTCCAAGATGGCGTCACGCACGACTTTGCTGCGTCTCGCATGGTTGGTTGCAGGGGCTGGCGTCCTGCTGCTCCTCGCTTACAAGGTCCAGCCTCCACTCTTCGTGTCCTGTTGTATTATACACTACTGCTGATATATCGCCTTCATGCTGTTGCAACCGGTTGTGTTATACGCTGCTACTTAAGTTATCCTGGTGCCTCTATCTTACATTTTGTGATTGCTTCTGTAGTGTTTTTTTTCTGTTGCATGCTGACCCTTATACTATTGTACTGTGAGACACCTGCTATTATTGTATTCCTCAGTTTTATTACCCCATTATCTTTTGTCTGGTATTTTTATCCGATGTTGCATTACCTCCAAAGTTTCATGTCGCTAGTGAAAGGTTCGTGATCCAAGGAATTGGACGTGATTTCATTTTCCTTTGATCGAACCTGTCTTCTATTTGCTCACACATTGTGTAACCTACGGGTTTAGTGCTTCCCCATGAATGTAATATAATGAATTACATGTTTTCTTTCTCGGCAGAGATGAGGTTGATAACAACTGTTAAGGTTAAAACTAAATAGGATCAAGTTAATTTTTCCTTATGTCATTTCAGATAGGTAATAATTAGAGATCTTTAGGATTTTTTATACAACTAAATGATGTAATCTAAAAAAAGACGAGATACTTGAAATAGTCTCGAACCAAAACCAACTTGGCAAAACATTCTAAATGAAAAAGTAGTCAAGAAAAAGTTTTTAGAAGAGACAGCGTAGGAAAGTTGGTAATTTGTCAGGGGAAAATCCTGGCAGGGGTCTTTGTCATAAGATTACCCATATAGTAGTGCTGGTCTATGTCGGGGGTGGGACAAGTTACTCTATACGGTGATGGGACAAGATGAAATTGAGACACGTGTGCAACATCTGGGTAGCTTTATTGTACTACGAATCTCCACGACTATGGTGCTCTTCGCACCTACTGCTAGTTTGAGGGACTGATTACCTCATCTTCTGTACATAGTTCTCCTGTCTTCAAGTTATGTCCTGGAATTTGTATTGATAAAGCCACTGGATGGCGAAACGTCTACAGTAAAGATACCCAGATGTTGCACATGTGTCTCAATTTCATCTTGTCGGTATTGTATACCATTCTTGTACATAGGACAAGATACTCTGTACGGGGGTGTGACAAGATACTCTGTACGGGGGTGGGACAAGATACTCTGTACAGAGACAACTGATGGCTCCTAGGCAGGACACCGCTGGTGTGGCTCCTAGGCAGGACACCGCTGGTGTGGCTCCTAGGCAGGACACCGCTGGTGTGGCTCCTAGGCAGGACACCGCTGGTGTGGCTCCTAGGCAGGACACCGCTGGTGTGGCTCCTAGGCAGGACACCGCTGGTGTGGCTCCTAGGCAGGACACCGCTGGTGTGGCTCCTAGGCAGGACACCGCTGGTGTGGCTCCTAGGCAGGACACCGCTGGTGTGGCTCCTAGGCAGGACACCGCTGGTGTGGCTCCTAGGCAGGACACCGCTGGTGTGGCTTCTAGGCAGGACACCGCTGGTGTGGCTCCTAGGCAGGACACCGCTGGTGTGGCTCCTAGGCAGGACACCGCTGGTGTGGCTCCTAGGCAGGACACCGCTGGTGTGGCTCCTAGGCAGGACACCGCTGGTGTGGCTCCTAGGCAGGACACCGCTGGTGTGGCTCCTAGGCAGGACACCGCTGGTGTGGCTCCTAGGCAGGACACCGCTGGTGTGGCTCCTAGGCAGGACACCGCTGGTGTGGCTCCTAGGCAGGACACCGCTGGTGTGGCTCCTAGGCAGGACACCGCTGGTGTGGCTCCTAGGCAGGACACCGCTGGTGTGGCTCCTAGGCAGGACACCGCTGGTGTGGCTCCTAGGCAGGACACCGCTGGTGTGGCTTCTAGGCAGGACACCGCTGGTGTGGCTCCTAGGCAGGACACCGCTGGTGTGGCTCCTAGGCAGGACACCGCTGGTGTGGCTCCTAGGCAGGACACCGCTGGTGTGGCTCCTAGGCAGGACACCGCTGGTGTGGTTCCTAGGCAGGACACCGCTGGTGTGGCTCCTAGGCAGGACACCGCTGGTGTGGCTCCTAGGCAGGACACCGCTGGTGTGGCTCCTAGGCAGGACACCGCTGGTGTGGCTCCTAGGCAGGACACAGCTGGTGTGGCTCCTAGGCAGGACACCGCTGGTGTGGCTCCTAGGCAGGACACCGCTGGTGTGGCTCCTAGGCAGGACACCGCTGGTGTGGTCCTAGGCAGGACACCCTGGTGTGGCTCCTAGGCAGGACACCGCTGGTGTGGTCCTAGGCAGGACACCGCTGGTGTGGCTCCTAGGCAGGACACCGCTGGTGTGGCTCCTAGGCAGGACACCGCTGGTGTGGCTCCTAGGCAGGACACCGCTGGTGTGGCTCCTAGGCAGGACACCGCTGGTGTGGCTCCTAGGCAGGACACCGCTGGTGTGGTCCTAGGCAGGACACCGCTGGTGTGGTCCTAGGCAGGACACCGCTGGTGTGGTCCTAGGCAGGACACCGCTGGTGTGGCTCCTAGGCAGGACACCGCTGGTGTGGCTCCTAGGCAGGACACCGCTGGTGTGGCTCCTAGGCAGGACACCGCTGGTGTGGCTCCTAGGCAGGACACCGCTGGTGTGGCTCCTAGGCAGGACACTGCTGGTGTGGTCCTAGGCAGGACACCGCTGGTGTGGCTCCTAGGCAGGACACCGCTGGTGTGGCTCCTAGGCAGGACACCGCTGGTGTGGCTCCTAGGCAGGACACCGCTGGTGTGGTCCTAGGCAGGACACCGCTGGTGTGGTCCTAGGCAGGACACCGCTGGTGTGGCTCCCAGGCAGGACACCGCTGGTGTGGCTCCTAGGCAGGACACCGCTGGTGTGGCTCCCAGGCAGGACACCGCTGGTGTGGTCCTAGGCAGGACACCGCTAGTGTGGCTCCTAGGCAGGACACCGCTGGTGTGGCTCCTAGGCAGGACACCGCTGGTGTGGTCCTAGGCAGGACACCGCTGGTGTGGTCCTAGGCAGGACACCGCTGGTGTGGTCCTAGGCAGGACACCGCTGGTGTGGTCCTAGGCAGGACACCGCTGGTGTGGCTCCTAGGCAGGACACCGCTGGTGTGGCTCCCAGGCAGGACACCGCTGGTGTGGCTCCCAGGCAGGACACCGCTGGTGTGGCTCCCAGGCAGGACACCGCTGGTGTGGCTCCTAGGCAGGACACCGCTGGTGTGGCTCCTAGGCAGGACACCGCTGGTGTGGCTCCTAGGCAGGACACCGCTGGTGTGGTCCTAGGCAGCACACCGCTGGTGTGGTCCTAGGCAGGACACCGCTGGTGTGGCTCCTAGGCAGGACACCGCTGGTGTGGCTCCTAGGCAGGACACCGCTGGTGTGGCTCCTAGGCAGGACACCGCTGGTGTGGCTCCTAGGCAGGACACCGCTGGTGTGGTCCTAGGCAGGACACCGCTGGTGTGGCTCCTAGGCAGGACACCGCTGGTGTGGCTCCTAGGCAGGACACCGCTGGTGTGGCTCCTAGGCAGGACACCGCTGGTGTGGCTCCTAGGCAGGACACCGCTGGTGTACCCGTGCTGAGCTTGGGTTTGCCGGTGAAGAAAAATTAAAATTTTTATTTCCTTGCAAAGTTTACAGTGTGTGGTTTACATATAAAATATTAATTACGTAGAAGGCCACTAGCATGCCTAGGCATTTCGGGCAGACTAATGGTTCGTAATCCAGTGAATTGGACCGTCCTTGGATCGAACCTTGTTCATTTCCATTTCCCCTGGGGTTATGACCTTTGAGTTGAGCACTTCCCATTAAAACAGTAGTAATAATAAAGATCTAATCAAGAGTTGTACAGAAATGTGGATGGTCAGTAATACTGATAAGAGAAACTACAAATTACGCAAATTATAATGCAAACTGCAAACTTTTTTTTAAATCTTGGTGGTATAAATTTGAAACAAAGATGAAAACTAAAAATGGTAAATGCATACTGCCTACCATTCAACATGACGATAAAAGAATTTGATAAGGTAAACGAGGAACTACAGAATAAGTGCCCATGGAAAGGTGAAACTTATTGCCTATCCTATAAATGCAGATTCCAAGTGTAATGAAATAAACTGGGTAGTCTTTATAGCTTGAATAATAAATAACGGGTTGGATAAGTTACTCGAGTGACCTGGTATTTACTTGAAAATTGGAAGATTTTTCTATGATAAATTATATAAACTTAAAAAAGTAATGATCAAAGTTAAGGAACATTTGTTACTAAATATTACTTGGGGAAAGGGGAAGAGACAACAAAGTGGAACCGCGAGATAAAGAAAATTGAATAAATTATTACAAATGATAAATATTAACAAACTATACAAAGAGTTCTGCAACGTGTCTTGAAATTAAAAGGTTTTGCCAAAAAATGGTGAGACTGAAAATTAAAAACAAAATTGGTTTAATGGAAACTTTTGGAAAGCCATGAAAATATGGGACTGAAAACTGAGTGTAAAAAGCTTCCTAAATCTGCATTTAACCAGAGATTGAAGTTAGTCAGAAATTAATATATATAAATGTAAGGAGAAAAAAGTAAAATTTGAAAATAAATTAGTAGGCATAGGCAAGACAAAGCAGTACATAATGTGGACGAGAATGTTGTGTGACAAAGGCATCAGTATAATTTAAGACATCATGCCATTATGTACTGGAAAGCGAAATATCAAAGCATTTTTTCCACAGTATCATATTACCAGCCATTCTTGAAAATTACCTGATTAAAAAAGAAAAGTCACGCGCCTAATTTCAGTCATATTTTACCAAGTGTTGTATATTGTAAATAACTCGTAACGTTTCATGACTGTAAACCACCAGTCTTCAAAAATTAATAAGTTAATAAGTGGTTAATTACCACCGTAACTTGCTTAAGAAACATCAGTGTTGAGATCCAGTCCCTGGGTCGGATAAGTGCCACTTGTAATCCTTTAACTATCACCCACAAGGTGGGTATGGATTGCGTGATGAAAGATATCAAACTGTTCGATGTGATGTTCATTCATCATTCTGTGCACATTTATTGAAGTTTTGTTCCTTTCACATTGTACTCCGTCTCTGGTCTTTTCTTTTTTCAGAATTTGCATAACCTTATGTGTTCATTCTTAGTCTGCCTAAGTCTTTGTAGCCTGTTTGGCCTTTCTCACACTTATTTTGCTTATTTATACATCATCGCAAACAGATACAGGTGATTCAGTCCCCGAAGGCAGGTCATTGCGTATCTAATTATTTGTTGGGTAATTATTCGCACATTTATAAATAACTAGCCAGAGGTTGTTGAATCCTACGTGTCGGAGAGTGCGTGTGCTTTTGTGAATACATGTGTGTTGGTGAATGCACATTACAACGTGAGTACATATGTGTTTGTTAAAGGTGTAACAACATTTGTGAGTATAGTATATATGCATTTGTGAATGCATGTGTGACAACGTGTGAATGCATTTTGTTGAATGCATGTTTAACAAGTTTTGTAAATACATGTGTTTATGATGTACTCTATGCATGGCATGTGTAAATACGTTTATATGTGAGTGTATGTACAGCTTGTGAGTATATTTGTATTTGTGAAATGAATAAGTACATGTGTGTTAGTAAGTTCATGTGTAACAACGTTTGTGTACAGGTTTATGGATGCTCGTGTGTGTTTGAGCTCACACATACGTATTTTCACCCCTTCCGTGCGCATTGAGATTGATTTACAGACCGACAGACTTGGTGGTTGATAAATAATTTAGAGAAGCAGAAGTCATTATTTCTTATAGCTATTGAACGGCGGTTAAGGTTTTATTTAATTTTAGTATATTTGTGATTATTACGATATTTTGTAGTGGGAGTAATCATTAAATAACAGTAATGTGTGATGGAAATTAGTAAGTACTATAAATATTGATGAATATTAATGCATCCGAAAAATTTAAGCAAATAACCTCAGGATGATCCTATGCGACGGAAATCCTGGAATTATGTCTATATTTTAAGTGTGTAACTTTTTGTTTGATTTTTTGGGGGGTTATCCCAGGTAATTTATGTATGTTACTCTGTATGGTAATTGTAATCACCTAAATTTGTGTAACTGTATTTATGCGTACCTGTACATAAATAAAATTACTATAACGATCAGATGTCAAAGGCACAAATGGATATAAACCAATCAAGTCAATGTGATCCATTTTTCATCGGGGACCATGAACAAATTGTACATACATTTTTTATACACAAAACCTAATTGTTCTTCATATATATTTGAAAACCGGTGTATTTATTTACGCGGTCAGTGTAATTTGGAACTAAAAACTTGCATGATTCTGATAACATTACCCACATCATCTCCCACTCCCAAAGGAAATAAAAAAAACACGAATACGATTCATATCGTCTTCTCACGTATGTCAGTATTTATCACGGAATAATATATTAAACCTAACCTTCACTGCTGTAAAAACGAAATAGCAATAAAGGTTTTGCCGGGTTTAAAATGCTTAGCATTAATTTTCTTTTGAGTGTTTGTGAATCGCGAGCAGAGGCGGGAAAAGGGTGCAGCAGACGGATGTGGCTCAGTAGCTGAGATGGCGGCGCCAGCGACGAGTGTGGTAGTGCTCGACCGCGGCAACAACACCACATGCACCGTCAATTTACACGGTAAGTACTAATGATTAACCTGCCGTGTTTGAGTTTACTCCTTGGCTGCTGGTGCAGCCATAACCTGTCACAGTCGTGGGGTTTAAAGGTAGGTGTCGTGGCAAGTGACAGGAAGGAGTGTGCATGAGCCGCCCGCGCGTGATTTTGGTCTGGTGGTGTGGCCAGTTTTTTGCTGCCACTTTGAACGCCCCGGCTCGTCGAAACAAAGGAAATTCAGGAGAACGCAAAATCTGGCCTTTATCTGGATGTTTCAGCTCAATAAAGCAGATCGAGAGGATTTCGGAGAGTGGTGTATTGCGTTTCAACATATCCAAATAGAGAAATTACCAAAGGAGAAAGACCGAGAGAGCTCAATTTTTTTCCCTTGGTGGGGAGGGGTAGGTTATTTGGTGGTCCCAATGGGCAGCTCTCTGCACACATAACCTAGAAAAGAATCTTAGTTTTACTGCCTCTCGCATTAAAGTAATTATGACCAGTATCAGGCTGTCCATAACAACTCTGATCGTACTAGTAATTGACTTATTTATTGTCCACAACCTCCTTGGGTCATATTTTATAATAGTTAAACAAGTGTATCCTAAGCTGTTTTTTTTTTTTTTTTGAATCGTAACCTTACTATGTAGTTGCTTGTTGCCTTCGCCTAGCAATAAGTAGGTACGTGGATTTTAAGACTCGTAGATGGCATCCAGGGAGAGGATCAAAAGAACCCTTCGGATGTAATTCAGTCAGTGGCTTCGTTCGACTATGCTGGGTTACTAACCCTCTAGATTAATCAGAATAAAATATTAATTTGCATATTTCCCCTTATCTTATTCGATGATCCTAGTTCAAAGACACTTGACATTTTATTGGTAACTGGTCACTATTTACTTAAATAAACCAAGTGCTATCCATACCACTTATGCAATGGAAAAAAACCCATAGTTATGCAATGCATTTTGGGCAGACTTAAGATTAAAATTATAAGCTTGGTATAGAATTGGTATTAACGTTCATTGGAATTAATAAATTAATGAGTTTGGAGAATGAAGTATAATGATTATCCTAGGTAATAACTGAATGACAGTGCATCAAGGAAGTATAGTATGTCTGTTAAATGAAAACCTGACTGGTATGTTATTGTCATTCAGGTACACGACTACTACAGTAAAACACTGCTGTCTAGTATTATGGATGCAACACAAAGTATGTCAACATGCCAATAGTTACAGGACATCTGATATACTATTCTTGAAAACAGGAGTGACTGGCAGACTTGAGCTTGTATAGCAAGGTATTTGAGGAGATAAATTGTGGTCTGTGGGTGCTTTCAATCCAGAGGTATCATTTAGGAATTGGACTAGAATGCTATCAGGTCCAGTGCTTTTTGTTAGGTTCCTCTTAATTCATCAGATTCTCCTGGTAACTGGAATTGTTTGGGATGGCATCCTTATTAATGTACGACAATATGTTGTAAAGTCATATGTTAATTTTTTTGGACATTTACCTGGCAGTATAATGTAGCATTTTGAAGATGTGGATTGAACAGGATATATTAAGTTTATTATGATATTAATATTTAATAAATTTAGGGATTTAAATAAGAACATAATGTCTTGCTTAAAATTTAAGTTTGTTGGGTCTGATGGCTGCCTTATTTATTTTTATTTTATTTATTCTATTTATTTTATTTATTTTGTCTTTGCAAACAGTACATTGAGATTTTATATTTACAATAGTGGGTTACAATGCAAAGAGAGCCTCTATTATGCCTAGGCATTATGGGCCAACTTAACATTATTGGCTTACAGACTACTTAACACTAAGTATTATATCATAGTTGTACAGTAGGACAGTAATTATTTCATAGTTGAACAGTAGATTATTAATTATAAGTGAATTAAATTTGTATAAGACAAAGGATATATTCATATAGTCTAAAATGCTTTTTGTGAAAACAATTGTTCAATTATATTCCTGTCAACAATGGATAAAAGGTTCAAAGTGATTGTTGAAGTTATGATGGAGTACATAGGTGAGTAAGTGTGTACTGAGTATTTACCATTTTGTCTAGGGTGATTAAGTGGCTTTTGAGAAGTCTTTAACTGATTTTCAGACTGGGTTACTTTAATATCTTCTGGTAATGAATTCCATATTTTAGGGCCCTTTATGTGCATAGTTTTTACAGTGTGATATGGACACGAGGTATATCAAAAAGAGATCTGTGTCTTGTGTTGTGGTCATGTGTCCTGTTTAAGTTGGTGAGGAGAAGTTTGAGTGGAGGGTTTATATTTGTGTGTATTGTTCTGTGTATGTAGTAGGCACATGAATAAGTATGGATGTTCTTAACGGTGAGCAGATTGAGACTTGAAAATTGCTGGAGTATGCTGGCAGGAGTGTGAATTAGTTATCATTCTTACTGCTGCCTTTTGCTGGGTTATGAGGGGTTTTAGGTGATTGGAAGTTGTTGATCCCCATGCACAAATTCCGTATGTAAGATAAGGGTATAAGAGTGTATGGTACAGTGCCAGGAGAGCTGATTGTGGAACGTAGTACCTTATCTTTGATAGTATGCCAACAGTCTTGGAGATTTTCTTGGTGATTTGTTGTATGTGTGTCTGGAACTTTAGGCTACTGTCAAGGTGGATACCTAGGAATTTTCCCTCTGTGAGTCTTGTGACTGATGATCCATTTAGCGTTATGTTAATCAGATCATTTGCAGCTTTGTTTCCAAACTGAATGAAATAGGTTTTATCAGTATTCAAGGTAAGTTTATTAATCATCATCCAGGCAGATATTTTCTGCAATTCGGCATTGGCTTTGTTTGCTAGTATGACTGTGTTTGGGTGGGAAAAGGCATGTGTAGTGTCATCTGCAAATAATATGGGTTTGAGTAGCTGTGATGCATTTGGTAGATCATTGATGTAGATGAGAATGAGGAGTGGTCCAAGGACTCTTCCTTGTGGGACTCCTACTGTGATTGGTTGGGTGGAAGAGTTTGCATCATTTGCATACACATATTGAGTTCTGTTACCAAGGTATGATTTTAGGTAGTTGAGGGAGTGGCATCTGATACCATAGTGCATTAATTTGGAGTACAGCAGTTCATGGTCGACTGTATTGAAAGTTTTATGTAAATCAATGAAAATGCCCAGCAGGACTTTTCTTTTCAAGTGCGGTATATATTAGTTCTAGCATGTGTATGATAGCATCATTCGTGCTTTTATTATTCCTGAATCCAAACTGTTGTGTGAGACGAGGTGATAATTGGTTTGAGGTAGATCCCCAAGCACAAATTCAGTAGGAGAGGTATGGATAGAAAATAGTAGTGTTGGTAGTATAGGATTGGGGAACATTTCAGAAAGTATACCTACAGTTCTTGATACTTTTTTGTAGGAGCTTGAGCCTTAGATTTTAATATTTGCTACTTTGGCTTTGTTAATTTTGATGTCTGTGGACATTATTTGTTATCAAAAGTTACGTAGGATATTTTTTATATTATGGGCGAGCTTGTTCTCATCCAGGTGTAAATCGTTTTTAATTAGTGTTTAATTATGTGGATGTTTGGAAAATCCATGAGGCAGTGGGTAGAAGGAAAGAAGGTAAAGCAACTGAACAGATAATTTTATTTCGGCATGATACAATGTTTGAGATGGGCGATATTTAGTTGTGCTTGCAGAAAGCATGCACAGATGTTAAAATAGGCAGGGATATGATATTGGAGTGGTAAAGATATTAATAAAAAAGGAAGATGCTATATCCAGAGACTGGCAGAGAGCATTCGTAGAATAAGTGAAAATGGAACAAGTGAAAATTTATCATCTTGTTTGTTATACATTGTAATACAACAAATTTGTACAACTATAATGCTTCAATATCGAAATGTTCAAATTTCATTGCTTCAAATACTCAGTTGTACTTCATATTGTAAATTATGTACGATAATTTTTACCACTGAACCTTTCATTGCTTGTTAATTTTAAGTTAATTTTAAGCCTGCCTATAATGCTCTGCATACAAGGGGCTTTTGGCATGTACACCCATCTACTATAATTCCTTGTACAACTATGTATCATGTCCAAATAAACTATTTGAATATGAATAGGCTTGAGTATAGTCAATACCCCCACAGCTCAATCCCAGACCAGGTAATGTGTACAGTAGAAATAATTATTGAAGGTTAGGGGTAGGACAGTAGATAGAGAAGCAAGGAGGCTTTAGAAGGGGTAGGGGATGAATAAACAGTGTTTACATTGAGGCATATAAGTGAATAATACATATGGGAGATAAGATAAGACGCTGTTTGTTACATTTGTGGATTTAGACGAGGCATATGGTAGGGTATACGTATAAGGAAGCAATGTGTCAAATGTATAGAAAAGGTGGTAGATTAATAAAAGTAGTGAATACATGTATAAGGTCACTTTTGAGTATGTAGGAGAGATGGGAATGGTTTTTCCAGTGAAAGTAGGACCTAGAAAGTGATGCATGATATCACCATGTATGTTTAACCCTTTGATTGTCACAAGCCCCGTTCTGAAACTCATTCTATGTCGCAAAATTTTTTGGAATTTTTTTTTTTCTTATGAAATGATAGAGAGACTTTTCCAGATGGTAATGACACCAAAAGTACGAAATTTAGTCGAAAACTCACTGAATTACGCTCCCGCGAAGTTAGTGGTCTCGGCGACATATACGAATCAGTGATTTCGCCGACTTTGAGCCCTGTTTTTGGCCAATTCCATTGTTCTAGTTGACCAAACTCATAGCTATTTCTTTAGAACTCCATTTTTTCTAGCAACTGAGTACAAGAAACTGCCCATTTACCAATTTGAACTACTCAATAAAGTGGTCAGAAATTGGCAATTTGGCTAATTCCACGCAAATTAAAAAAGATGCCAATTTCAAAATAGGGTCCAGAATAAACAATGTAGACATTCTTGGCACTAAAATAACATATCCTCTGTTTATTAGTCACGTCCATAGGCCCCTCTTATATTACTATTGCTTTCTATTTTGAA